GTGAGAACATGCATGTAACAGATATCTTAATTTAAAAAAAAAGAGCAGAAGAAAAGAGTGCTTTCTTTTTAAACCATTGTTATGAGTCTGACAGCTCCAATGGCTTGTTTTTTTTTTTTTCCCTTTTTAAACAGAGTACCTTCAATGCATGGCTCTGGTGGTCTTTCCTCCTCTAAATGAGAAAGAAATGTGAATCTCCCTGGTGTTCAACTATTTACATCTGTGCTACAATTCCGGCATGACATGTAATTAATATGTTGAAAAGCTGCTTTTCACACATGAGTCTTAGCACACTGCCTGCTAGCAAGCTACTCAGCAGGGATCCTGGAAAATGAAAGAACTGGACTCACTTGACCTTTGGGGAGTCTGACCTGACTCTTTTAATAGCCCATGTTCTTGGAAAGAGTCCAGATTCTTTATACAAAGTGTGTTTTGTTCATCTTTCCACACAGATCTACTCAACACTTCTAATTTTATTAAACAAAATAAATGCCTATGTTATGGACTCATAGGGTCACAGTAAGAATATTCCTTTTAACATGCAAGCTTCTCACTTCGACTCATTTGAAGAAAACTGTTGCCTGCAGTTGGCACCTGTGTGCGTGTATTGGCAATGATCTTGTTGGCACTTTGATAGTGGGCTATAAAAAGCCACCTTATGGAGTCTTATGCATTGTGAGTCATACTAGCAATTAAGAGACTGTCACTTCTGTGACATTTTACTGATTACAGACTAAAGATTAAACAGAATTAACTACTAATAACCTTACACATAAAAATGCTTTCCTAAACCAGTATTCAGCATTGCTTTTGTGATCTTTAAGTTACAAATTATAATTAAGTGCTACCTCCTCTGGTCCTTTAGGCTGCAGTTAAGTAGCAAGTAGGAAGAAGGGCAGCTCCGAGTGGAAGGTACAAATGCACATCAGTGTGTCCTGGAAACCCTTCTTCACCTCTCCCTTAGAAAGTGCTTTTCTTTCCACTGTGGGCAGTCACTATTTAAAGTGAGATTGTCAAGGGTTTTCCGTGCTCAATTCAGCTGCTTTGCCTTATTTTGTAAAATTTCTCCTCTCTCAGAACGAAAGGGAGTCATTTCCTTTTGCCAGCCAGTACTGAAAACAGCCATCTCACCACCCAAGGTACAGGGCAAAGTTTTCCTTGAGGTCAGGCATTCACAAACAGGTACATTTCTAATGTAAATGCCACTGCTCGGCATCACAGGGATATATTGCCACGTTTTTCCAAAGCTAAGCAGTAAGTTTGTCTTGAATGTGAGTCATTTTCAGGTGGTTTATCATCTACTTTTCACTTAAAAATAAAATTTTAAGACAATATTTTGAAAGAAAGTCTGCATTTTCTCAACAAATATTGCCAGTTTTAAATCTATAGTGTTTGTTAAATGCTCACCTCAGTCAGCAGGGACCCTGTAGTGGTGACAGTGATGACAATGGTGACCGTGGTAGTGATGGAGTAAGTGGTGAGAGTAACAGGCACTTCTCGCTATTTAAGTGTGCCACAGAGTTTCTGGTTGAATTGTGAGATTCTCTGTCAGTGGACTGATTAAGAGCCAGACCACCAGTGCTTCCATCTCAATGTTAACACTGTTGTCAGAGACCGAGCTATGAGAACTTACTAAAATTACATAATCATAGCTTCCCCGTCTGTAAGATGTGGACAGGAAAGATGGTTAAAGCTGCTGGGAATGAGACAGTGCGTGGGTATAGACGTGACGTGGAGTGCTCAGCACAACACCTCAGGCTGTCACAGACGGCAGTGATGTTTTCACTATTCCTCACATTAGGAAAGAGCCTGCAAAGGCTTGGGAACTGGCTCAGGTCCCTGAAAAGCAAGGGTAAAGCCCACAAGCTCAAATTTTTTTCTACCATGACCCATGTTTTGACAGTTGGCCATTACTGTATTTTGCATTAGTCACCCAGGTGCAGCTCACTCGCCAGATCATGGTAAAGGATAGAACTTTTCATCTTAATGTGTTTTATG